CACTGTCCTTCACGTCGTCATCACCCTGGGAGACACAGAGAGACACAGAGAGACACACAAAGACACACAGAGAGAGACACAGTGAGTGAGGTGGAAGCCACTGTCCTTCACGTCGTCATCACCCTGGGAGGGAGACACACAGAGAGACACACAGAGACACAGAGACACACAGAGAGACACACAGAGAGACACACAGAGACACAGAGACACAGAGAGACACACAGAGAGACACAGAGACACAGTGAGTGAGGTGGAAGCCACTGTCCTTCACGTCGTTATCACCCTGGGAGAGAGACACACAGAGACACAGAGAGACACACAGAGAGACACAGAGAGACACACACAGAGAGACACACACAGAGAGACACACAGAGAGACACACACACAGAGAGACACAGTGAGCGAGGTGGAAGCCACTGTCCTTCACATCGTCATCACCCTGGGAGACACACAGAGAGAGACACAGAGAGACACACAGAGAGAGACACAGAGACAGACAGAGACACAGAGAGACACACAGAGAGACACACAGTGAGACACAGAGACACACACAGAGACACAGAGAGACACAGAGAGACACAGAGACACAGTGAGCGAGGTGGAAGGGCACTGTCCATCACATCGTCATCACCCTGGGAGACACACAGAGACACAGAGAGACAGAGACACACACAGTGAGACACAGAGACACAGAGAGACACACAGAGACACAGAGAGACACAGAGACACACAGTGAGCGAGGTGGAAGGCACTGTCCTTCACATCGTCATCACCCTGGGAGACACACAGAGACACAGAGAGACAGAGACACACACACAGAGACACACACAGAGACACAGAGAGACACAGAGACACAGAGAGACACAGTGAGCGAGGTGGAAGGGCACTGTCCTTCACATCGTCATCACCCTGGGAGACACACAGAGAGACACACAGAGAGACAGAGACACACACACACAGACACAGAGAGACACACAGAGAGACACAGAGAGACACAGAGAGAGACACAGAGAGACACAGAGAGACACCGTGAGCGAGGTGGAAGGGCACTGTCCTTCACATCGTCATCACCCTGGGAGACACACAGAGACACAGAGACACAGAGAGAGACACAGAGACACACAGAGACAGGGACACACACAGACACACACAGACAGAGAGACACACAGTGAGCGAGGTGGAAGGCACTGTCCTTCACATCGTCATCACCCTGGGAGACACACAGAGACACAGAGAGACAGAGAGACACACAGAGAGACAGAGACACACACAGAGAGAGACACAGAGACACAGAGAGAGAGACACAGAGACACACAGTGAGCGAGGTGGAAGGCACTGTCCTTCACATCGTCATCACCCTGGGAGACACACAGAGACACAGAGAGACAGAGACACACACACAGAGACACACACAGAGACACAGAGAGACACAGAGACACAGAGAGACACAGTGAGCGAGGTGGAAGGGCACTGTCCTTCACATCGTCATCACCCTGGGAGACACACAGAGAGACACACAGAGAGACAGAGACACACACACAGAGACACAGAGAGACACACAGAGAGACACAGAGAGACACAGAGAGAGACACAGAGAGACACCGTGAGCGAGGTGGAAGGGCACTGTCCTTCACATCGTCATCACCCTGGGAGACACACAGAGACACAGAGAGAGACACAGAGACACACAGAGACAGGGACACACACAGACACACACAGACAGAGAGACACACAGTGAGCGAGGTGGAAGGCACTGTCCTTCACATCGTCATCACCCTGAGAGACACACAGAGACACAGAGAGACAGAGAGACACACAGAGAGACACAGAGACACAGAGAGACACACAGTGAGACACAGAGACACACACAGAGACACAGAGAGACACAGAGACACACAGAGACACAGAGATACACACAGAGAGACACAGAGAGACACAGAGACACAGAGAGACACACAGAGACACACAGTGCGTGAGGTGGAAGCCACTGTCCTTCACATCGTCATCACCCTGAGAGACACACATGGAGAGATAGCTAGGTGAGTGAGTGTGTAGCTAGGTGAGTGTGTAGCTAGGTGAGTGAGTGAGTGTGTAGCTAGGTGAGTGAGTGTGTAGCTAGGTGAGTGAGTGTGTATAGCTAGGTGAGTGAGTGTGTAGCTAGGTGAGTGAGTGTGTAGCTAGGTGAGTGAGTGTATAGCTAGGTGAGTGAGTGTGTAGCTAGGTGAGTGAGTGACTGTGCAGCTAGGTGAGTGAGTGAGTGTATAGCTAGGTGAGTGAGTGTGTAGCTGAGTGAGTGTGTAGCTAGGTGAGTGAGCGAGTGTGTAGCTAGGTGAGTGAGTGTGTAGCTAGGTGAGTGAGTGAGTAGCTAGGTGAGTGAGTGTGTAGCTAGGTGAGTGAGTGAGTGTGTAGCTAGGTGAGTGAGTGTGTAGCTAGGTGAGTGAGTGTGTAGCTAGGTGAGTGAGTGAGTGTGTAGCTAACTAGGTGAGTGAGTCTGTGAGTGTGTAGCTAGGTAGGTGAGTGTGTAGCTAGCTAGGTGAGTGATTAAGTCTGTGAGTGTGTAGCCAGTCAGGTAGGCGAGTGTGTAGCTAGGTGAGTGTGTAGCTAGGCGAGTGTGTAGCTAGGTAGGTGAGTGAGTGAGTCTGTTAGTGTGTAGCTAGGTGAGTGTGTAGCTAGGTGAGTGAGTGTGTAGCTAGGTAGGTGAGTGAGTCTGTGAGTGTGTAGCTAGCTAGGTGAGTGAGTGTGTAGCTATGTAGGTGAGTGAGTGAGTCTGTGAGTGTGTAGCTATCTAGGTGAGTGAGTGAGTCTGTGAGTGTGTAGCTAGGTAAGTGTGTAGCTAGGTAGGCGAGTGAGTGAGTAGCCAGTCAGGTAGGCGAGTGAGTGAGTAGCCAGTCAGATAGGTGAGTGAGTGAGTAGCCAGTCAGGTAGGCGAGTGAGTGAGTAGCCAGTCAGGTAGGCGAGTGAGTGTGTAGCCAGTCAGGTAGGCGAGTGTGTAGCCAGTCAGATAGGTGAGTGAGTGAGTAGCCAGTGAGGTAGGTGAGAGAGTGTGTAGCTAGGTGAGTGAGTGAGTCTGTGAGTGTGTAGCTAGGTGAGTGAGTGAGTGTGTAGCTAGGTAGGTGAGTGTGTAGCTAGCTAGCTAGCTAAGTGAGTGAGTGTGTAGCTAGGTAGGCGAGTGAGTGAGTAGCCAGTCAGGTAGGCGAGTGAGTGTGTAGCTAGGTGAGTGAGTGAGTCTGTGAGTGTGTAGCTAGGTGAGTGAGTGTGTAGCTAGGTAGGTTAGTGTGTAGCTAGCTAGCTAGCTAAGTGAGTGAGTGTGTAGCTAGGTAGGCGAGTGAGTAGCCAGTCAGGTAGGCGAGTGTGTAGCCAGTCAGATAGGTGAGTGAGTGTGTAGCCAGTCAGATAGGTGAGTGAGTGAGTAGCCAGTCAGGTAGGTGAGTGAGTGTGTAGCTAGGTGAGTGAGTGAGTATGTGAGTGAGTAGCTAGCTAGGTGAGTGAGTGAGTAGCCAGTTAGGTAGGCGAGTGAGTGTGTAGCCAGTCAGGTAGGCGAGTGAATGTATAGCTAGGTGAGTGAGTGAGTAGCCAGTCAGATAGGTGAGTGAGTGAGTAGCCAGTCAGGTAGGTGAGTGAGTGAGTAGCCAGTCAGATAGGTGAGTGAGTGAGTAGCCAGTCAGGTAGGCGAGTGAGTGTGTAGCTAGGTGAGTGAGTGAGTCTGTGAGTGTGTAGCTAGGTGAGTGAGTGAGTGTGTAGCTAGGTAGGTGAGTGTGTAGCTAGCTAGCTAGCTAAGTGAGTGAGTGTGTAGCTAGGTAGGTGAGTGAGTGAGTGAGTCTGTGAGTGTGTAGCTAGGTAGGCGAGTGAGTGAGTAGCCAGTCAGGTAGGCGAGTGTGTAGCCTGTGAGGTAGGCGAGTGAGTGAGTAGCCAGTCAGGTAGGCGAGTGAGTGTGTAGCTAGGTGAGTGAGTGTGTAGCTAGGTGAGTGAGTGAGTCTGTGAGTGTGTAGCTAGGTGAGTGAGTGAGTGTGTAGCAGGTGAGTGTGTAGCTATCTAGGTGAGTGAGTGAGTCTGTGAGTGTGTAGCTAGGTGAGTGTGTAGCTAGGTAGGCGAGTGAGTGAGTAGCCAGTCAGGTAGGCGAGTGAGTAAGTGTGTAGCTAGCTAGGTGAGTGAGTCTGTGAGTGTGTAGATAGCTAAGCGAGTGAGTCTGTGAGTGATTAGCTAGCTAGGTGAGTGAGTGTGTAGTCAGTCAGGTAGGCGAGTGAGTGTGTAGCTAGGCGAGTGAGTGAGTAGCCAGTCAGGTAGGCGAGTGAGTGTGTAGCTATGTGAGTGAGTGAGTCTGTGAGTGTGTAGCTAGGTAGGCGAGTGAGTGAGTAGCCAGTCAGATAGGCGAGTGAGTGAGTAGCCAGTGAGGTAGGCAAGTGAGTGAGTAGCCAGTGAGGTAGGCGAGTGAGTGAGTAGCCAGTCAGGTAGGCGAGTGAGTGAGTAGCCAGTCAGGTAGGCGAGTGAGTGAGTAGCCAGTCAGGTAGGCGAGTGAGTGTGTAGCTAGGCGAGTGAGTAGCCAGTGAGGTAGGCGAGTGAGTGAGTAGCCAGTCAGGTAGGCGAGTGAGTGAGTAGCCAGTCAGGTAGGTGAGTGAGTGAGTAGCCAGTGCGGTAGGCGAGTGAGTGAGTAGCCAGTGAGGTAGGCGAGTGAGTGAGTAGCCAGTGAGGTAGGCGAGTGAGTAGCCAGTGAGGTAGGCGAGTGAGTAGCCAGTGAGGTAGGCGAGTGAGTGAGTAGCCAGTCAGGTAGACGAGTGAGTGAGTAGCAAGTCTGGTAGGCGAGTGAGTGTGTAGCTAGGCGAGTGAGTGAGTAGCCAGTGAGGTAGGCGAGTGAGTGAGTAGCCAGTGCGGTAGGCGAGTGAGTGAGTAGCTAGGCGAGTGAGTGAGTAGCCAGTCAGGTAGGCGAGTGAGTGTGTAGCTAGGCGAGTGAGTGAGTGAGTCTGTGAGTGTGTAGCTAGCTAGGCGAGTGAGTGAGTAGCCAGTGAGGTAGGCGAGTGAGTGAGTAGCCAGTGAGGTAGGCGAGTGAGTGAGTAGCCAGTGAGGTAGGCGAGTGAGTGAGTAGCCAGTGAGGTAGGCGAGTGAGTGAGTAGCCAGTGAGGTAGGCGAGTGAGTGAGTAGCCAGTGAGGTAGGCGAGTGAGTGAGTAGCCAGTCAGATAGGTGAGTGAGTGAGTAGCCAGTCTGGTAGGAGAGTGAGTGTGTAGCTAGGCGAGTGAGTGAGTAGCTAGTCAGATAGGTGAGTGAGTAGCCAGTGAGGTAGGCGAGTGAGTGAGTAGCCAGTCTGGTAGGCGAGTGAGTGTGTAGCTAGGCGAGTGAGTGAGTAGCCAGTGAGGTAGGCGAGTGAGTGAGTAGCCAGTGAGGTAGGCGAGTGAGTGAGTAGCCAGTCAGGTAGGCGAGTGAGTAGCCAGTCAGGTAGGCGAGTGAGTGAGTAGCCAGTCAGGTAGGCGAGTGAGTGAGTAGCCAGTCAGGTAGGCGAGTGAGTAGCCAGTCAGGTAGGCGAGTGAGTGAGTAGCCAGTCAGGTAGGCGAGTGAGTGACTAGCCAGTCAGGTAGGCGAGTGAGTGAGTAGCCAGTGAGGTAGGCGAGTGAGTGAGTAGCCAGTGAGGTAGGCGAGTGAGTAGCTAGGCGAGTGAGTGAGTAGCCAGTGAGGTTGGCGAGTGAGTGAGTAGCCAGTCTGGTAGGCGAGTGAGTAGCTAGGCGAGTGAGTGAGTAGCCAGTGAGGTAGGCGAGTGAGTGTGTAGCTAGGTGAGTGAGTGAGTCTGTGAGTGTGTAGCTAGCTAGGCGAGTGAGTGAGTAGCCAGTCTGGTAGGCGAGTGAGTGTGTAGCTAGGCGAGTGAGTGAGTAGCCAGTGCGGTAGGCGAGTGAGTAGCCAGTGAGGTAGGCGAGTGAGTAGCCAGTGAGGTAGGCGAGTGAGTGAGTAGCCAGTCAGGTAGGCGAGTGAGTGTGTAGCTAGGCGAGTGAGTGAGTAGCCAGTGAGGTAGGCGAGTGAGTGAGTAGCCAGTCAGGTAGGAGAGTGAGTGAGTAGCTAGCTAGGCGAGTGAGTGAGTAGCCAGTCTGGTAGGCGAGTGAGTGAGTAGCCAGTGAGGTAGGCGAGTGAGTGAGTAACCAGTGAGGTAGGCGAGTGAGTGAGTAGCCAGTGAGGTAGGCGAGTGAGTGAGTAGCCAGTCTGGTAGGCGAGTGAGTGAGTAGCCAGTCAGGTAGGCGAGTGAGTGAGTAGCCAGTCTGGTAGGCGAGTGAGTGAGTAGCCAGTGAGGTAGGCGAGTGAGTGAGTAGCCAGTGAGGTAGGCGAGTGAGTGAGTAGCCAGTGAGGTAGGCGAGTGCGTGTGTAGCTAGGTGAGTGAGTGAGTAGCCAGTGAGGTAGGCGAGTGAGTACCAGCATGGCGTATCCGAGGCCCCCCTCTGGAGGCCTGGGGCTTGTGCCCCTGCGGCTACGAGGCTGCTCGCTCTTTGCCGGCCAGGTGGGAAACACAGCGGGCTCGATGGGGAGCGGCGACTCGGAGAAGTAGCGGTGATGTAGAGCCGTGTCCGCCTGTACACGGCGTGCCGGGCAGTACGTGAGGAACCTGGAGCCACCACCACCACCACCACCGCAACAACCGTCATCAATACCGCTGCAATTATTATTACTACCACGCTCATCACCGCCACCGCCGCCATCATCATCACCGCCAACATCACCACAACCATCACCACCAACACCACCACAATCACCACCACAACCACAACCATCACCACCACCACCACCACCACAACCATCACCACCACCACCACAACCATCACCACCACCACCACCACAACCACCACAACCACGCGGTGCAGGGTGTGTGTGTGTCTGTGTGTGTGTCTGTGTGTGTGTCTGTGTGTGTGTCTGTGTGTGTGTCTGTGTCTGTGTGTATGTGTGTCTGTGTGTGTCTGTGTGTGTGACTGTGTGTGTGTATGTGTGTGTGTGTCTGTGTGATGTGTGTGTGTGTCTGTGTGATGTGTGTGTCTGTGTGTGTGTGTGTGTCTGTGTGTGTGTGTGTCTGTGTGTGTGTCACTGTGTGTGTCACTGTGTATGTGTGTGTCTGTGTGTGTGTCTGTGTGTGTGTCTGTGTTTGTGTATCTGTGTGTGTGTGTGTCTGTGTGTGTGTCTGTGTGTGTGTCTGTGTGTGTGTGTCTGTGTGTGTGTCTGTGTGTGTGTGTGTGTCACTGTGTGTGTCACTGTGTATGTGTGTGTCTGTGTGTGTGTCTGTGTGTGTGTCTGTGTGTGTGTCTGTGTTTGTGTATCTGTGTGTGTGTGTGTGTGTCTGTGTGTGTGTCTGTGTGTGTGTGTCTGTGTGTGTGTCTGTGTGTGTGTGTGTGTGTCTGTGTGTGTGTCTGTGTTTGTGTATCTGTGTGTGTGTGTCTGTGTGTGTGTCTGTGTGTCTGTGTGTGTGTCTGTGTGTGTGTGTGTGTCACTGTGTGTGTGTACACTGTCTGTGTGTGTGTCACTGTGACTGTGTCTGTGTGTGTGTCTGTGTGTGTGTGTCTGTGTGTGTGTGTACACTGTGTGTGTACACTGTGTGTGTGTGTGTGTGACTGTCTGTGTGTGTGCGTGCGTCCGCCCACTTGTTGATGAGGTCAAAGCCTTGGTCTGATAGCAGCGCCCCGAAGCGCTTGCGCAGGTTGTTGTAGGGGTGCTCCGTGAACGCCATCTTCTTCACCGCGGGAAGATCTCCGTAGCCCGGCCAGATCTTCTCGTTGGGCGAGCCCAGCTCCTGTGGCCGGCCACGGCAACACGGGCCGACGACGGTGAACACTCTGGTGGTGGTGGTGGTGATGATGGTGGCGGTGGTGGTGGTGGTGGTGGTGATGGTGGTGGTGGGGGTGGTGATGGTGGTGGTGGGGGTGGTGGTGGTGGTGGGGGTGGTGGTGGTGGAGGTGGTGGTGGGGGTGGTGGTGGTGGTGGTGGAGGTGGTGGTGGTGGTGGTGGTGGTGATGGTGGAGGTGGTGGTGGGGGTGGTGGTGATGGTGGTGGTGGTGGTGGTGATGGTGGGGGTGGTGGTGATGGTGGTGGTGGTGGTGGTGATGGTGGGGGTGGTGGTGGTGATGGTGGTGGTGGGAGTGGTGGTGATGGTGGTGGTGGGGGTGGGGGTGGTGGTGGTGATGGTGGTGGTGGTGATGGTGGTGGTGATGGTGGTGATGGTGATGGTGGTGGTGGGGGTGGGGGTGGGGGTGGTGGTGGTGTAGTGCAGTGTGGTGTAGTGTGGTGACCAGTGTGGTGAGCAGTGTGGTGAGTAGTGTGGTGAGCAGTGTGGTGAGTAGTGTGGTGAAGAGTGTGGTGAGTAGTGTGGTGAGCAGTGTGGTGAGCAGTGTGGTGAGTAGTGTGGTGAGCAGTGTGGTGAGTAGTGTGGTGAGTAGTGTGGTGAGCAGTGTGGTGGTGGTGTAGTGCAGTGTGGTGAGTAGTGTGGTGAGCAGTGTGGTGAGCAGTGTGGTGAGTAGTGTGGTGAGCAGTGTGGTGAGTAGTGTGGTGACCAGTGTGGTGAAGAGTGTGGTGAGCAGAGTGGTGAGCAGAGTGGTGAGCAGAGTGGTGAGCAGAGTGGTGAGCAGTGTGGTGAGCAGTGGTGAGCAGTGTGGTGAGCAGTGTAGTGAGTAGTGTGGTGAGTAGTGGTGAGCAGTGTGGTGAGTAGTGTGGTGAGCAGTGTGGTGAGCAGTGTGGTGAGCAGTGGTGAGCAGTGTGGTGAGTAGTGTGGTGAGTAGTGTGGTGAGTAGTGTGGTGAGTAGTGTGGTGAGTAGTGTGGTGAGCAGTGTGGTGAGTAGTGTGGTGACCAGTGTGGTGAAGAGTGTGGTGAGTAGTGTGGTGAGCAGAGTGGTGAGTAGAGTGGTGAGCAGAGTGGTGAGGCCACCTTGAAGATGCGGTTGATTTCGTCAATCTCCGACTTGCCCGGGAACAGCGGCTTCTGGGTGAGCAGCTCGGCAAAGATGCAGCCCACGGACCACAGATCCACTGCTGTGGAGTATTCCTGCAGGTACACACACAGGTACACACACACACAGGTACACACACACAGACACACACACAGGTACACACACACAGGTACACACACACACAGATACACACACACACACACACAGAGACACACACACAGGTACACACACAGGTACACACACAGATACACACACACACAGGTACACACACACAGGTACACACACACGGACCACAGATCCACTGCTGTGGAGTATTCCTGCAGGTACACACACAGATACACAGTGTACACACACACACACAGATACACAGTGTACACACACAGATACAGTGTACACACACACAGACACACACACACAGGTACACACACAAATACACACACACAGGTACACACACACAGGTACACACACACAGACAGATACACACACACAGAACACAGATCCACTGCTGTGGAGTATTCCTGCAGGTACCACAGACACACACACACACAGGTACACACACAGATACACACACACAGGTACACACACACACACAGGTACACACAGACAGATACACAGGTACACACACGTGGGTTATACACACACACAGGTCCACTGCTGTGGAGTATTCCTGCAGGTACCACACACAGATACACACACGTGGGTTACACACACACACAGGTACACACACACACACACAGATACACACACACAGGTACCACACACAGATACACACACACGGACCACAGATCCACTGCTGTGGAGTATTCCTGCAGGTACACACACAGATACACACACAGGTACACACACAGGTACACACACACGTGGGTTACACACACACAGACAGATACACACACACACAGACACACACGTGGGTTATACACAAACACACAGGTACACACACAGATACACAGTGTACACACACAGACACACACACACAGACAGATACACACACAGAACACAGATCCACTGCTGTGGAGTATTCCTGCAGGTACCACACAGACACACACAGATACACACACACACAGACACACACGTGGGTTACACACACACACAGGTACACACACACAGACACACACACAGATACACACACACACAGGTACACACACACAGACACACACGTGGATTACACACACACACAGGTACACACACAGATACACACACAGATACACACACGTGGGTTACACACACACACACAGGTACACACACAGGTACACACACACAGACACACACGTGGGTCACACACACACACACAGATACACACACACACAGGTACACACACAGACACACACACACACAGATACACACACAGGTACACACAGATACACACACACAGGTACACACACACACACGTGGGTTACACACACACACACACACAGGTACACACACAGATACACACACACAGGTACACACACACACACACGTGGGTTACACACACACACACAGGTACACACAGACAGATACACACACAGGTACACACACACAGACACACACGTGGGTTACACACACACACACACAGGTACACACAGACAGATACACACACACAGGTACACACAGGCAGACACACACACAGACACACACAGACAGATACACACACACAGGTACACACAGACAGATACACACACACAGGTACACACAGACAGATACACACACAAACACACACATAGGTGCACACAGACAGATACACACACAGAGGTACACACAGACAGATACACACACAGACACACATACACATGTACACACAGACATATATATACACACACACACACACAGCGACACACAGACACACATACACACACAGGTACACAGACACATACACACACAGACACACACACAGGTACACATAGACAGATACACACACAGACACACATACACACATAGACACACACAGACAGATACACACACAGACACACATACACACACAGGTACACATAGACAGATACACACAGCCCACGGACCACGTCTCCCCACATCTCCCCGTGTCTCACCGCGTCTCACTGTGTCTCACCGTGTCTCTCCCCATGTCTCACCATGTCTCCCCGTGTCTCCCCATGTCTCCCCATGTCTCACCATGTCTCCCCGTGTCTCCCCATGTCTCCCCATGTCTCTCCCCGTGTCTCTCCCCGTGTCTAACCGCGTCTCACTGTGTCTCACCGTGTCTCTCCCCGTGTCTCACCGTGTCTCCCCGTGCGTCCCCACGTCTCTCCCCGTGTCTCACCATGTCTCCCCATGTCTCACCATGTCTCCCCGCGTCTCCCCGTGTAACTCCCCGTGTCTCTCCCCGTGTCTCTCCCCGTGTCTCTCCCCATGTCTCTCCCCGTGTCTCACCGTGTCTCCCCATGTCTCTCCCCGTGTCTCTCCATGTCTCCCCATGTCTCCCCATGTCTCTCCCCGTGTCTCACCATGTCTCCCCATGTCTCTCCCCGTGTCTCACCGTGTCTCCCCATGTCTCCCCATGTCTCTCCCCGTGTCTCACCATGTCTCACCATGTCTCACCATGTCTCCCCGCGTCTCCCCGTGTCTATCCCCGTGTCTCTCCCCGTGTCTATCCCCGTGTCTCTCCCCGTGTCTCACCGTGTCTCACCGTGTCTCCCCGCGTCTCCCCGCGTCTCCCTGCGTCTCCCCGCGTCTCCCCGCGTCTCACCACCTCTCTCACCGTGTCTCTCTGTATGTCCCCGTGTCTACCCGCGTCTCCTTGTATGTCCCTGTGTCTCCCTGTGTCTCCCTGTGTCTCTCTGTATGTCCCCGTGTCTCCCTGCGTCTCCCTGTCTTCCCGTAGGTCCCGTGTCTCACCGCGTCTTCCTTTGTGTCCCCGTGTCTCCCTTTGTGTCCCCGTGTCTCTCTGTATGTCTCCGTGTCTCCTAGCGTCTCCCTGTATGTCCCCGTGTCTCCCTGTGTCTCCCCGTATGTCCCTGTGTCCCCTGTATGTCACCGTGTCTCCCCGTGTGTCTCTCTGTATGTCCCTGTGTCCCCTGTATGTCCCCGTGTCTCCCCGCGTCTCCCTGTGTCTCCCCGTATGTCCCCGTATGTCCCCGTGTCTCACCGCGTCTCCCTGTATGTCCCCGTGTCTCCCCCGCGTGTCTCCCGGCATCTCGTGTATGTCCCTGTGTCCCCGCGTCTCCCCGTATGTCCCCGTGTCTCACTGTGTGTCTCCCCACGTGTCTCCCCGTATGTCCCCGTGTCTCCCTGCCTGTCTCCCCGCGTGTCTCCCCGCGTGTCTCCCTGCCTGTCTCCCTGCGTGTCTCCCTGCGTGTCTCCCTGCGTGTCTCCCCGTATGTCCCCGTGTCTCCCTGCCTGTCTCCCCGCGTGTCTCCCTGCGTGTCTCCCTGCGTGTCTCCCTGCGTGTCTCCCCGTATGTCCCCGTGTCTCCCTGCCTGTCTCCCCGCGTGTCTCCCTGCGTGTCTCCCTGCGTGTCTCCCTGCGTGTCTCCCCGTATGTCCCCGTGTCTCCCTGCCTGTCTCCCCGCGTGTCTCCCTGCGTGTCTCCCTGCGTGTCTCCCTGCGTGTCTCCCCATATGTCCCCGTGTCTCCCTGCCTGTCTCCCTGCGTGTCTCCCTGCGTGTCTCCCTGCGTGTCTCCCTGCGTGTCTCCCTGCGTGTCTCCCCCGTGCGTCTCCAACCTTGATGCCCAGTAGCAGCTCGGGGGCTCTGTACCACAGAGTCACCACCACGGGGGTGTAGGGCTTGAGTGGAGACCCATACTCACGGGCCAGGCCAAAGTCTCCAATCTATACACACAGATACACACACACACAGATACACACACACACACATACACACACACAGACACACACACAGATACACACACAGATACACACACATACACACACAGATACACACACAGATACACACAGGGCTTGAGTGGAGACCCATACTCACGGGCCAGGCCAAAGTCTCCAATCTATACACACACACACACAGATACACACACATACACACACACAGATACACACACACACAGATACACACACATACACACACACAGGGCTTGAGTGGAGACCCATACTCACGGGCCAGGCCAAAGTCTCCAATCTATACACACACACACAGATACACACACAGACACACACAGATACACACACACACACACAGATACACACACATACACACACACATACACACACATACACACACAGATACACACACATACACACATATACACAGATACACACACATACACACACACACAGGGCTTGAGTGGAGACCCATACTCACGGGCCAGGCCAAAGTCTCCAATCTATACACGCAGATACACACACACATACACACAGATACACACACACAGATACACACACAGACACACACACACACAGAGACATACACAGATACACACACATACACAGACACACACAGATACACACACATACACACACACAGATACACACACACACAGATACACACACACACACACAGATACACACACAGATACACACACAGGGCTTGAGTGGAGACCCATACTCACGGGCCAGGCCAAAGTCTCCAATCTATACACACAGATACACAAACACAGATACACACAGATACACACACAGACACACACACACACACAGATACACACAGATACACACACACACAGATACACACAGATACACACACACACACACACAGATACACACACAGACACACACATACACACACACACAGGGCTTGAGTGGAGACCCATACTCACGGGCCAGGCCAAAGTCTCCAATCTATACACACACACACAGATACACACAGATACACACACACAGATACACACACACACACAACAACAACCGCCATTCGCCACTAAGTGGCGGTGACGTCACCACGACGCTTGTGCCAGGCTATGTGCACCCTGAGGCCACGTGAAGTGTCGAACGCCCGCTGGCAGGAGGTCACGGGGCAGACCCAGGTGCCACGGGTCGACTGACTGAGATGACTGGCTGATGCACCACCTGTGCCCCCTACTGTGCCAACCTGCTGTGCTTTAGCCACCCGGTGCTCCGCTCGTTGTTCTGAGCGTCGCTCCTCCACCCTCCGTTGTTGTTGGAGGGCGACTGCCTCCAACTGCCCAGTAGCATCCTTCACGAGCCTCCTCCACAGAGACCGATCTTGACACCGCTGGTACCAGTCATCGGCAAGTCCACTCAGCTCCACGTCCTCCTGTACCACGTCACTCCATCTCTTCTCTAGCCCGTGCCGTGCCCGTTTAGCCCCCTCGATCCGGCCAAACAAAAGCTGTTTCGGCATGCGGTGGCTGGGCATGCGGGATACATGACCCAGCCAACGCAGCCTTGCCTGCCGGAGGAGCTCACCGATGGGACCTTGCCCAGATCTTTCAAAGATTTGTGAGCTCCTCACACAATCCAGTCCGGTTAAACCCAGGATGGATCGTAGGCAGGCCAGCCTAAATGTTTCTAACCGGCGAAGATGCTCCATTAGGGGGGTCCACGTTTCGCAAGCGTAGAGAAGGGAGGGAATGACCGTGGCCGAGAAGACCTGAAGCTTAGTGCGGAGCGACAGACCAGGTAGCTTGCACACAGCGTTACGCAACTGATGAAAAGATATTGCCGCTCGACTGATTCGGAGTGAGACCTCTGCTGTTAAACTGGAGCCAGTCATAAGCACTATGCCCAGGTACGGGAAACTCTCCACTCTCTCCACAACTGCCCCATCACCGATTGAGAGTTGTGGGGGTGTTGTGTCCGATGGTACAAAATACCCAGGCAGGTGCTAAGTTTTGGTGGGGCTGATGGTAAGGCCCCACCTCTTAGTGGCACGCTCCAGTCTCAGCAGCAGCGTCTCCAACTCCTCCTCTGACTGAGCAGCTATTACCAAATCATCGTCATACATAACGTGGTTGAGCAATAGGGAGCCATCCCTTGACCGCACCCGGGCATCGATCAGCCTCCCATTATATCTTTACCAATTGGAAATTCCCCCGGTACAGCTATTGAAGGCTTCACAAACTACGTGATGTTAAATAATGTGGGAGCCAGAGGACATCCCTGTCGCACCCCAAGGTGTACAGGGAATGGCTCTGACTCCCGGCCACGTAGTTTTACCCGGGCCCGCTCACCATCATGAAGGTCCCTAATGATCGTGAGCAGAGGGTCAGGTACTCCAAAAGCACGAAGAACAACCCAGAGCCCAGGCAGCCTACTGATGGTATCATAGGCCTTGACCAGGTCAATAAAGCAGAGATGTAGGTCTTGCTGGAATTCCCTACACCTCTGCTGTAGTAGATGGACAGAAAATATGGCATCCGTGCAGGATACACACACACACAGATATACACAAACACACACAGATATACACAAACACAGATACACACACACGTAGAGGGCTTGAGTGGAGACCCATACTCATGGGCCAGGCCAAAGTCTCCAATCTATATACACAGATAAATGCATACACAGATACACACACACAGAAACACGCACACACACATATACACACACAGAGTGGGTGAGTTGGTGGGTGAGTTGGTGGGTGAGTGGGTGAATGGGTGAGTGAGCGGGTGGGTGAGTAGGTGGGTGAGTAGGTGGGTGAGCGTGTGAGTGTTTGGGCGAGTGTGTGGGTGAGTGGGTGAGTGAGTAAGTGAGTGGGTCAGCAGGTGGGTGAGTGAATGAGTGAGTGGGCGAGTGGGTGAGTAAGCGGGTAGGTGAGTAAGTGGGTGAGTGTGTGGGTGAGTGTGTGGGTGAGTGGGTGGGTGGATGAGTGAGTGAGTGGGTGGGTGAGTGAGTGGGTGAGTAAGTGGGTGATTGAGTGGGTGGGTGGGTGAGTGAGTGGGTGACTGAGTGAGTTGGTGGGTGGGTGAGTGGGTGAGTGAGTGAGTGAGTGATTGGGTGGGTGAGTGGGTGGGTGATTGAGCGAGTGAGTGGGTGAGTGGGTGGGTGAGTGGGTGGGTGAGTGGGTGAGTGAGTGAGTGGGTGGGTGAGTGAGTGGATGAGTGAGTGGGTGGGTGAGTGGGTGAGTAAGTGGGCGAGTGAATGAGTGAGCGAGCGGGTGAGCGTGCAGCCGCACCTTGAGGATGCCGGCATGGGATAGCAGGAGGTTGGAGGTCTTGAGGTCCCTGTGGAGGATCCAGTTGTCGTGAAGATGGCGGACCCCCCTGAGGAGCTGGATCATCAGAGTCTTCACCTCACCTGCACCACACAAAGGGGCACCCCCCCCTCCTCCCATGTAGCCTCGGCAAGCCGGTGGAGCAAATGCCCAGCTAGCCAGGCGGCCAGGCAGGCGACCAGCCAGGCAGGCGGGCAGGCAGTCAGCCACCAAACAACAGCCACTCACTCACCAAACCCCAGCCAGCCACTCACCAAACCCCAGCCAGCCACTCACCAAACCACTCACCAAACCCACTCACCCAACACACTCACCAAACTCGCTCACCAAACACGCTCACCAACACACTCACCCAACACTCACCAAACACACTCACCCAACACACTCACCCAACACACTCACCCAACACACTCACCAAACACACTCACCCAACACGCTCACCCAACACGTTCACCCGACACGTTCACCCGACACGCTCACCCGACACGCTCACCCGACACGCTCACCCGACACGCTCACCCGACACGCTCACCCGACACGCTCACCCGACACGCTCACCCGACACACTCACCCGACACACTCACCCGACACACTCACCCGACACACTCACCCGACACACTCACCCGACACACTCACCCGACACACTCACCCGACACACTCACCCGACACACTCACCCGACACACTCACCCAACACACTCACCCAACACACTCACCCAACACAATCACCCAACACACTCACCAAACACACTCACCCAACACACTCACCAAACCCACTCACCAAACACACTCACCCAACACACTCACCCAACACACTCACCCGACACACTCACCCAACACACTCACCCAACACACTCACCCAACACACTCACCCAAACACACTCACCCAACACACTCACCCAACACACTCACCCAACACACTCACCAAACCACTCACCCGACACACTCACCCGACACACTCACCCGACACACTCACCCGACACACTCACCCAACACACTCACCAAACCACTCACCCAACACACTCACCCGACACACTCACCCGACACACTCACCCGACACACTCACCCAACACACTCACCCAACACACTCACCCAACACACTCACCCAACACACTCACCCGACACACTCACCCGACACACTCACCCAACACACTCACCAAACACACTCACCCGACACACTCACCCGACACACTCACCCGACACACTCACCCAACACACTCACCCAACACACTCACCCAACACACTCACCAAACCACTCACCCGACACACTCACCCGACACACTCACCCGACACACTCACCCGACACACTCACCCGACACACTCACCCGACACACTCACCCGACACACTCACCCGACACACTCACCAAACACACTCACCCAACACACTCACCCAACACACTCACCCAACACACTCACCAAACACACTCACCCAACACACTCACCCAACACACTCACCCGACACACTCACCCGACACACTCACCCGACACACTCACCCGACACACTCACCCGACACACTCACCCGACACACTCACCCGACACACTCACCAGACACACTCACCCAACACACTCACCCAACACACTCACCAAACACACTCACCCAACACACTCACCCAACACACTCACCCAACACACTCACCCAACACACTCATCACCAAACACACTCACCCAACACACTCATCACCAAACACACTCACCCGACACACTCACCAAACACACTCACCAAACCCACTCACCCAACACACTCACCCAACACACTCACCCAACACACTCACCCAACACACTCACCATACACACTCACCCAACACACTCACCCGACACACTCACCCGACACACTCACCCGACACACTCACGCGACCCACTCACCCAACCCACTCACCCGACACACTCACCCGACACACTCACCCGACACACTCACCCGACACACTCACCCAACACACTCACCCAACACACTCACCCAACACACTCACCCAACACACTCACCAAACACACTCACCCAACACACTCACCCAACACACTCACCCAACACACTCACCCAACACACTCACCCAACACACTCACCCAACACACTCACCCAACACACTCACCCAACACACTCACCAAACACACTCACCCAACACACTCACCAAACACACTCACCCAAACACTCACCAAACCCACCCACCCAACACACTCACCCAACACACTCACCCAACACACTCACCCAACACACTCACCCAACACACTCACCCAACACACTCACCATACACACTCACCATACACACTCACCCGACACACTCACCCGACACACTCACCCGACACACTCACCCGACACACTCACCCGACACACTCACCCAACACACTCACCCGACACACTCACCCGACACACTCACCAGACACACTCACCCAACACACTCACCCAACACACTCACCCAACACACTCACCCAACACACTCACCCAACACACTCACCCAACACACTCACCCGACACACTCACCCGACACACTCACCCGACACACTCACCCAACACACTCACCCAACACACTCACCCAACACACTCACCCAACACACTCACCCGACACACTCACCCAACACACTCACAAAACACACTCACCCAACACACTCACCAAACCCACTCACCCAACACACTCACCCAACACACTCACCCAACACGCTCACCAAACCCACTCACCAAACACACTCACCCAACAGTCTCACCAAACCCACTCACCCAACACGCTCACCAAACCCACTCACCAAACACACTCACCCAACAGTCTCACCAAACCCACTCACCCAACACACTCACCAAACCTACTCACCAGACACACTCACCCAACACACTCACCCAACACACTCACCAAACACACTCACCAGACACACTCACCCAACACACTCACCCAACACACTCACCCAACACACTCACCAAACACACTCACCAAACACACTCACCAAACACACTCACCAAACACACTCACTCACTCACCCACCCACCCGCTGCTCACCCCTCTCTCTCTATCCCTCTGTCTCCCCCTCACCCATCCACGTCGCTCACCACGTCGCTCACCACGTCACTCACCAGGCAGGAACGGCGTCTTCATCGTCTCCATCAGGCTCTTGAGGTCATGCTCCACATAGTCCATCACGATGTAGATCTTGTCCATGTTAGATCCCACCACAATCTCCTACAGCACACAGCACACACACACACTCTCCATGTTAGATCCCACCACAATCTCCTACAGCACACAGCACACACACACACTCTCCATGTTAGATCCCACCACAATCTCCTACAGCACACAGCACACACACACACTCTCCATGTTAGATCCCACCACAATCTCCTACAGCACACAGCACACACACTCTCCATGTTAGATCCCACCACAATCTCCTACAGCACACACACACACACTCCATGTTAGATCCCACCACAATCTCCTACAGCACACACACACACTCTCCATGTTAGATCCCACCACAATCTCCTACAGCACACAGCACACACACACACTCTCCATGTTAGATCCCACCACAATCTCCTACAGCACACAGCACACACACTCTCCATGTTAGATCCCACCACAATCTCCTACAGCACACACACACACACTCCATGTTAGATCCCACCACAATCTCCTACAGCACACACACACACTCTCCATGTTAGATCCCACCACAATCTCCTACAGCACACACACACACTCACCAATCACTCACCTACTCACTCGCGTACTCGCCCACTCACCCACTCACCAATCACTCAACCATCCACCCGCCCACCCACCCCCTCACTCACCCCCCACCCACCCACTCACCCACCCACTCACCCACCCACTCACCCACCCACTCACCAACTCGCTCACCCACTCGCTCACCCACTCGCTCACCCACTTGCTCACCCACACACTCACTCACCCACTCGCTCACCCACTCGCTCACCCACTCACACACCCACTCACCCACCCACCCACTCACTCGCTCACCCACTCGCTCACCTACTCACTCACCCACTCACCCACCCACTCACCCACCCAGCCACCAACTCGCTCACTCGCTCACCCAATCACCCACCCACTCACCCACCCACTCACCCACCCACTCACCCACCCGCTCACCCACTCGCTCACCCACTCACTCACCCTGACTGTCACAATGTTTGGGTGCTGAGCCTTGAGCAGGGTGTTTATCTCTCTCTCACCTGCCCACCCACCCACCCACTCACCCATTGACCCATCCACTCACCCACCCACTCACTCGCTCACCCACCCACCCACTCACTCACCCACCCACTCACCCTGACTGTCACAATGTTGGGGTGCTGAGCCTTGAGCAGGGTGTTTATCTCTCTCTCACCTGCCCACTCACCCACCCACTCACTCACCCACTCGCTCACCCACACACCCACTCGCTCACCCACCCACTCACTCACCCACCCACTCAATCACCCACTCGCTCACCCACCCACCCACCCACCCACTCACCCACCCACTCACCCACCCACTCACCACCCACTCACTCACCCACCCACCCACTCACCCACCCACTCACTCACCCACTCACTCACCCACTCACTCACCCTGACTGTCACAATGTTGGGGTGCTGAGCCTTGAGCAGGGTGTTTATCTCTCTCTCACCTGCCCACTCACCCACCCACTCACCTACCCACCCACTCACCAACTCGCTCACCCACTCACCCATTCGCTCACCCGCTCACCCACTCACTCACCCACCCACTCAATCACCCACTCGCTCACCCACCCACCCACCCACTCACCCACCCACTCACTCACCCACCCACTCACTCACCCACCCACTCACTCACTCACCCACTCACTCACCCACCCACTCAATCACCCACCCACTCACCCTGACTGTCACAATGTTGGGGTGCTGAGCCTTGAGCAGGGTGTTTATCTCTCTGTCACCTGCCCACTCACCCACCCACTCACCCACCCACCCACCCACTCACTCACCCACCCACTCACCCATTGACCCACTCACTCATCCAACCACTCACTCACCCACCCACCCACCCACTTACCAACTCACCCACCCACTCACCCTGACTGTCACAATGTTGGGGTGCTGAGCCTTGAGCAGGGTGTTTATCTCTCTCTCACCTGCCCACTCACCCACCCACTCACCTACCCACCCCCTCACCAACTCGCTCACCCGCTCACCCACTCACCCACTCACCCACCCACTCACCCACTCACCCACCCACTCACCCACTCGCTCACCCACCCGCTCACTCACCCACTCACCCACCCACCCACCCACTCACCCACTTGCTCACCCACTCACTCACCCACTCACTTACCCACCCACTCACTCACCCACCCACTCACCTACCCACCCACTCACCCACTCACTCACCCACCCACTCACCCACCCACCCACTCACCCACTCACCCACCCACTCACTCACCCACCCACCCACTCACTCACACACCCACCCACTCACTCACCCTGACTGTCACAATGTTGGGGTGCTGAGCCTTGAGCAGGGTGTTTATCTCTCTCTCACCTGCCCACTCACCCCCCCACTCACCTACCCACCCACTCACCAACTCGCTCACCCACTCACCCACTCGCTCACCCACCCACACACTCACCCACCCACTCAATCACCCACTCGCTCACCCACCCACCCACCCACTCACCCACCCACTCACCACCCACTCACTCACCCACCCACTCACTCACCCACCCACTCACTCACCCACCCACTCACTCACTCACCCACTCACTCACCCACCCACTCAATCACCCACCCACTCACCCTGACTGTCACAATGTTGGGGTGCTGAGCCTTGAGCAGACTGTTTATCTCTCTGTCACCTGCCCACTCACCCACCCACTCACCCACCCACCCACCCACTCACTCACCCACCCACTCACCCATTGACCCACTCACTCACCCAACCACTCACTCACCCACCCACCCACCCACTTACCAACTCACCCACTCACTCACCCTGACTGTCACAATGTTGGGGTGCTGAGCCTTGAGCAGGGTGTTTATCTCCCTGAGAGAGGTGATCGGGAACCCTTCCCTCTCCTTCTCCATCTTCAACCTCTTGAGAGCAACGATCTCATCTGGGGGGGGGGCGTGGGGAGAGATGGGGGGGGGCCAACAGAGCCATCATCAGGGCATGGTCTTTATTAGCATTAGTAGTGGAGTCTGTGTGTGTCTGTGTGTGTGTGTGTCTGTGTCTGTGTGTCTGTCTGTGTGTGTGTGTGTGTCTGTGTGTCTGTGTGTGTGTCTGTCTGTGTGTGTCTGTGTGTGTGTGTGTCTGTGTGTGTGTGTCTGTGTGTGTGTCTGTGTGTGTGTGTCTGTGTGTGTGTGTCTGTGTGTGTGTGTGTGTGTGTCTGTGTGTGTGTCTGTGTGTGTGTCTGTGTGTGTGTGTCTGTGTGTGTGTGTCTGTCTGTGTGTGTGTGTCTGTGTGTGTGTGTGTGTCTGTGTGTGTCTGTCTGTGTGTGTGTCTGTGTGTGTCTGTCTGTGTGTGTCTGTCTGTCTGTGTCTGTGTGTGTGTCTGTGTGTGTGTCTGTGTGTGTGTCTGTGTGTGTCTGTGTGTGTGTCTGTGTGTGTGTGTCTGTGTGTCTGTGTATGTGTGTCTGTCTGTGTGTGTCTGTGTGTGTATGTGTGTGTGTGTGTCTGTCTATGTGTGTCTGTGTGTGTCTGTGTGTGTCTGTGTGTATGTGTCTGTGTGTGTGTGCGTGGGGAACGGTAGTGTAGTGGTTAGCGCTACGCTGCGCTATGAACCTGGCGACCCGGGTTCGATTCCCGCTCACGGCCAACACTGCCAGTGACGATTATCTGAACCGGTCTTGGGCCTCCCCTAGGTCGACTCAGCCTCAAATGAGTACCTGGCGCGTTGTGTAGTAAACATCGCCACTGGGGAGACAAAGGCGGCCGGGCGTGGTGCTGGCCACCCACCCCCTCGTGTGCCGTGCCGGCCTTCATAGGTGCTCGCTAACAGCACTTGCCGCTACAGTCTGTTAAGGCTATACGGGGGATCTTTGTCTTTGTCTACGTGTGTGTCCGTCTACGTGTGTCCACGTGTGTGTGTGTGTCCACGTGTGTGTCTACATGTGTGTGTCTACATGTGTGTGTGTCTACATGTGTGTGTGTGTCTACATGTGTGTGTGTGTGTCTACATGTGTGTGTGTCTACATGTGTGTGTGTGTGTCTACATGTGTGTGTGTCTACATGTGTGTGTGTGTCTACGTGTGTATGTGTCTACATGTGTGTGTGTGTCTACGTGTGTGTGTGTCTACGTGTGTGTCTACGTGTGTGTGTGTGTCTACGTGTGTGTGTCTACACGTGTGTGTGTGTCTACGTGTGTCTACGTGTGTGTGTGTGTCTACATGTGTGTGTGTGTCCACGTGTGTGTCTACGTGTGTGTGTCTACATGTGTGTGTCTACGTGTGTGTGTGTCTACGTGTGTGTGGTCTACGTGTGTGTCTACGTGTGTGTCTACGTGTGTGTGTGTTCATGTGTGTCTACACGTGTGTGTCCACGGGTGTGTCTACGTGTGTCTACGTGTGTGTGTCTACATGTGTGTGCGTCCACGGGTGTGTCTACATGTGTGTGTGTGTTCACGTGTGTTTGTCTACGTGTGTGTGTCTACGTGTGTGTGTGTGTCTACGTGTGTGTGTCTACACGTGTGTCTACACGTGTGTGTGTCTACGTGTGTGTGTGTGTCTACGTGTGTCTACACGTGTGTGTGTGTCTACGTGTGTGTGTGTGTCTACGTGTGTCTACGTGTGTCTACGTGTGTGTCTACATGTGTGTGTCTACGTGTGTGTGTCTACATGTGTATACACGTGTGTGTGTGTCTACACGTGTGTGTCTACACGTGTGTGTGTGTCTACGTGTGTGTGTGTCTACGTGTGTGTGTCTACATGTGTGTGTCTACATGTGTATATCTACGTGTGTGTGTGTCTACACGTGTGTGTGTCTACACGTGTGTGTCTACACGTGTGTGTGTGTCTACGTGTGTGTGTGTCTACGTGTGTGTGTGTCTACATGTGTGTGTGTGTGTCTACATGTGTGTGTGTGTCTACATGTGTGTGTCTACGTGTGTGTCTACATGTGTGTATATCTACGTGTGTGTGTGTGTCTACGTGTGTGTGTGTGTCTACATGTGTGTATATCTACGTGTGTGTGTGTGTGTCTACGTGTGTGTGTGTCTATGTGTGTGTGTCTACGTGTGTGTGTGTGTCTACGTGTGTGTGTGTGTCTACGTGTGTGTGTGTGTCTACGTGTGTGTGTGTGTCTACGTGTGTGTGTGTCTGGCACAGTAGGGGGCAAAGGTGGCTCATCGTCCACCCATCTCAGTCAGTCAACCCATGGCACCTGCAGGGTCTGTCACGTGACCTCCCCCTCGTGCACCTAGCCTGGCACAGCAGTAACAACCCACGGCAACCTGCTGGGTCTGTCCCCGTGACCTCCTCCTCGTGCACCTAGCCTGGCACAGCAGTAACAACCCACGGCAACCTGCTGGGTCTGCCCCGTGACCTCCTGCCGGCGGGCGTTCGACACTCCGCGCGTGGCCTCGGCGTGCACCTAGCCTGGCACGAGCGCCGTGCTGACGTCACCGCCGCTCAGTGGCTGTTGTTGTGTTTACACACCGGTCTTCTTGTCCTTGGCTCTGTACACCACTCCGTATGTCCCCTCCTCGATGCGGTTCAGACAGTGAAACTCCTCCACACTCCGGCAGCCCTGCACACACAACCACCGCAACGATCACCCACCAACTCCACCACCACCTACATAACCACCACCACCACCACCTACATAACCACCACCACCACCTACACAACCACCACCACCACCACCACCTACATAACCACCACCACCACCACCTACACATCCACCACCACCACCTACACAACCACCACCACCACCAACACAACCACCACCTACAACAACCACCACCACCTACACAACCACCACCAACAAATCCACAACCACCACCTACAACAACCACCACCACCTACACAACCACAACAACCACCACCTACACAACCACCACCAACACATCCACAACCACCACCTACAACAACCACCACCACCTACACAACCACCACCACCTACACAACCACCACCACCACCGCAACGATCACCCACAACCACCACCACCTACACAACCACAACCAACAAATCCACAACCACCACCTACAACAACCACCACCACCACCTACAACAACCACCACCACCACCTACACAACCACCACCACCACCTACACAACCACCACCACCACCTACACAACCACCACCACCTACACAACCACCACCACCATCTACACAACCACCACCACCTACACAACCACCACCACCAACACAATCACCACCACCTACACAACCACCACCAACAAATCCACAACCACCACCTACACCACCACCACCACCACCTACACAACCACCACCAACAAATCCACAACCACCACCTACAACAACCACCACCTACACAACCACCACCACCTACACCACCTACACAACCACCACCACCTACACAACCACCACCTACAACAACCACCACCACCTACACAACCACCACCTACACAACCACCATAATGATCACCACCACCACCAACACAGCCATCCACAACCACCACCTACAACAACCACCACCACCACACCGACACAACCACCACCACCAACTCCAGGTACCTGTGTGTGTGTGTAGGTATGGTGAGTGTAGGTAGCTGTGTGTGTGTAGGTAGCTGTGTGTGTAGGTATGGTGAGTGTAGGTAGCTGTATGTGTAGGTATGGTGAGTGTAGGTAGCTGTGTGTAGGTATGGTGAGTGTAGGTAGCTGTGTGTGTGTGTAGGTATGGTGAGTGTAGGTATGGTGTGTGTAGGTAGCTGTATGTGTAGGTAGCTGTGTGTGTGTAGGTATGGTGTGTGTAGGTAGCTGTGTGTGTAGGTATGGTGAGTGTAGGTAGCTGTGTGTGTAGGTATGGTGAGTGTAGGTAGCTGTGTGTGTGTAGGTAGCTGTGTGTGTAGGTATGGTGAGTGTAGGTAGCTGTATGTGTAGGTATGGTGAGTGTAGGTAGCTGTGTGTAGGTATGGTGAGTGTAGGTAGCTGTGTGTGTGTGTAGGTATGGTGAGTGTAGGTATGGTGTGTGTAGGTAGCTGTATGTGTAGGTAGCTGTGTGTGTGTAGGTATGGTGTGTGTAGGTAGCTGTGTGTGTAGGTATGGTGTGTGTAGGTAGCTGTGTGTGTAGGTAGCTGTATGTGTAGGTAGCTGTGTGTAGGTATGGTGAGTGTAGGTAGCTGTGTGTGTGTAGGTAGCTGTGTGTGTAGGTAGCTGTGTGTAGGTATGGTGAGTGTAGGTAGCTGTGTGTGTGTAGGTATGGTGTGTGTAGGTAGCTGTGTGTTAGTATGGTGAGTGTAGGTAGCTGTGTGTGTAGGTAGCTGTGTGTAGGTAGCTGTGTGTGTGTAGGTATGGTGAGTGTAGGTAGCTGTGTGTGAAGGTAGCTGTGTGTGTAAGTACGTGTATAGGTAGCTGTGTGTGTAGGTACGTGTGTAGGTAGCTGTGTGCGTAGGTACGTGTATAGGTAGCTGTGTGTGTAGGTACGTGTGTAGGTAGCTGTGTGTATAGATAGCTGTGTGTGTAGGTACATGTGTAGGTAGGTGTATAGGTAGCTGTGTGTGTAGGTAGCTGTGTGTGTAGGTACGTGTGTAGGTAGCTGTGTGTGTAGGTACGTGTGTAGGTAGCTGTGTGCGTAGGTACATGTATAGGTAGCTGTGTGTGTAGGTAGCTGTGTGTGTAGGTACGTGTGTAGGTAGCTGTGTGTGTAGGTACGTGTGTAGGTAGCTGTGTGCGTAGGTACGTGTATTGGTAGCTGTGTGTGTAGGAACGTGTGTAGGTAGCTGTGTGTGTAGGTAGCTGTATGTGTAGGTAGCTGTGTGTGTAGGTAGCTGTGTGTGTAGGTAGCTGTGTGTGTAGGTAGCTGTGTGTGTAGGTAGGTGGGTGTGTAGGTAGCTGTGTGTGTAGGTAGCTGTGTGTGTAGGTAGGTGTGTGTGTAGGTAGCTGTGTGTGTAGGTAGCTGTGTGTGTAGGTAGCTGTGTGTGTGGGTAGCTGTGTGTGTGGGTAGGTGTGTGTGTAGGTAGCTGTGTGTGTAGGTAGCTGTGTGTGTAGGTAGCTGTGTGTGTAGGTAGCTGTGTGTGTAGGTAGCTGCGTGTGTAGGTAGCTGTGTGTGTAGGTAGCTGCGTGTGTAGGTAGCTGTGTGTGTAGGTAGGTAGGTAGCTGTGTGTGTAGGTAGCTGTGTGTGTAGGTAGCTGTGTGTGTAGGTAGCTGTGTGTGTAGGTAGGTGTGTGTAGGTAGCTGTGTGTGTAGGTAGCTGTGTGTGTAGGTAGCTGTGTGTGTAGGTAGCTGTGTGTGTAGGTAGCTGTGTGTGTAGGTAGCTGTGTGTGTAGGTAGGTGTGTAGGTACGTGTGTAGGTAGCTGTGTGTGTAGGTAGCTGTGTGTGTAGGTAGCTGTGTGTGTAGGTAGCTGTGTGTAGGTAGCTGTGTGTGTAGGTAGCTGTGTGTGTAGGTAGCTGTGTGTGTAGGTAGCTGTGTGTGTAGGTAGGTAGGTAGCTGTGTGTGTAGGTAGCTGTGTGTGTAGGTAGCTGTGTGTGTAGGTAGCTGTGTGTGTAGGTAGCTGCGTGTGTAGGTAGGTGGGTGTGTAGGTAGGTAGGTAGCTGTGTGTGTAGGTAGCTGTGTGTGTAGGTAGCTGTGTGTGTAGGCAGCTGTGTGTGTAGGTAGCTGTGTGTGTAGGTAGCTGTGTGTGTAGGTAGCTGTGTGTGTAGGTAGCTGTGTGTGTAGGTAGGTAGGTAGCTGTGTGTGTAGGTAGCTGTGTGTGTAGGTAGCTGTGTGTGTAGGTAGCTGCGTGTGTAGGTAGGTGGGTAGGTGAATACCTGTAGGGCCGGCAGGTAGGTAGGTAGCTGTGTATGTAGGTAGCTGTGTGTGTAGGTAGCTGTGTGTGTAGGTAGCTGTGTGTGTAGGTAGCTGTGTGTGTAGGTAGCTGTGTGTGTAGGTAGCTGTGTGTGTAGGTAGCTGTGTGTGTAGGTAGGTAGGTAGCTGTGTGTGTAGGTAGCTGTGTGTGTAGGTAGCTGTGTGTGTAGGTAGGTGGGTAGGTGAATACCTGTAGGGCCGGCAGGTAGGCAGGTAGCTGTGTGTGTAGGTAGCTGTGTGTGTAGGTAGCTGTGTGTGTAGGTAGCTGTGTGTGTAGGTACACGTGTAGGTAGCTGTGTGTGTAGGTAGCTGTGTGTGTAGGTAGGTGGGTAGGTGAATACCTGTAGGGCCGGCAGGTAGGCAGGTAGCTGTGTGTGTAGGTAGCTGTGTGTGTAGGTAGCTGTGTGTGTAGGTAGCTGTGTGTGTAGGTACACGTGTAGGTAGCTGTGTGTGTAGGTAGCTGTGTGTGTAGGTAGCTGTGTGTGTAGGTAGCTGTGTGTGTAGGTAGCTGTGTGTGTAGGTACACGTGTAGGTAGCTGTGTGTGTAGGTAGCTGTGTGTGTAGGTAGGTGGGTAGGTGAATACCTGTAGGGCCGGCAGGTAGGCAGGTAGCTGTGTGTGTAGGTAGCTGTGTGTGTAGGTAGCTGTGTGTGTAGGTACACGTGTAGGTAGCTGTGTGTGTAGGTAGCTGTGTGTGTAGGTAGGTGGGTAGGTGAATACCTGTAGGGCCGGCAGGTAGGCAGGTAGCTGTGTGTGTAGGTAGCTGTGTGTGTAGGTAGCTGTGTGTGTAGGTAGCTGTGTGTGTAGGTACACGTGTAGGTAGCTGTGTGTGTAGGTAGCTGTGTGTGTAGGTAGCTGTGTGTGTAGGTAGCTGTGTGTGTAGGTACACGTGTAGGTAGCTGTGTGTGTAGGTAGCTGTGTGTGTAGGTAGGTGGGTAGGTGAATACCTGTAGGGCCGGCAGGTAGGCAGGTAGCTGTGTGTGTAGGTAGCTGTGTGTGTAGGTAGCTGTGTGTGTAGGTAGCTGTGTGTGTAGGTAGCTGTGTGTGTAGGTAGCTGTGTGTGTAGGTACACGTGTAGGTAGCTGTGTGTGTAGGTAGCTGTGTGTGTAGGTAGCTGTGTGTGTAGGTAGCTGTGTGTGTAGGTACACGTGTAGGTAGCTGTGTGTGTAGGTAGCTGCGTGTGTAGGTAGGTGGGTAGGTGAATACCTGTAGGGCCGGCAGGTAGGCAGGTAGCTGTGTATGTAGGTAGCTGTGTGTGCAGGTAGCTGTGTGTGTAGGTAGCTGTGTGTGTAGGTAGGTAGCTGTGTGTGTAGGTAGCTGTGTGTGTAGGTAGCTGTGTGTGTAGGTAGCTGTGTGTGTAGGTAGCTGTGTGTGTAGGTAGCTGTGTGTGTAGGTAGCTGTGTGTGTAGGTAGCTGTGTGTGTAGGTAGCTGTGTGTGTAGGTAGCTGTGTGTGTAGGTAGCTGTGTGTGTAGGTAGCTGTGTGTGTAGGTAGCTGTGTGTGTAGGTAGCTGTGTGTGTAGGTAGCTGTGTGTGTAGGTAGCTGTGTGTGTAGGTAGCTGTGTGTGTAGGTAGCTGTGTGTGTAGGTAGCTGTGTGTGTAGGTAGCTGTGTGTGTAGGTAGCTGTGTGTGTAGGTAGCTGTGTGTGTAGGTAGCTGTGTGTGTAGGTAGCTGTGTGTGTAGGTAGCTGTGTGTGTAGGTACACGTGTAGGTAGCTGTGTGTGTAGGTAGCTGTGTGTGTAGGTAGCTGTGTGTGTAGGTAGCTGTGTGTGTAGGTAGCTGTGTGTGTAGGTAGCTGTGTGTGTAGGTAGCTGTGTGTGTAGGTGGCTGTGTGTGTAGGTAGCTGTGTGTGTAGGTAGGTAGGTAGCTGTGTGTGTAGGTAGGTAGGTAGCTGTGTGTGTAGGTAGCTGCGTGTGTAGGTAGCTAGCTGCGTGTGTAGGTAGCTGTGTGTGTAGGTAGGTAGGTAGCTGTGTGTGTAGGTAGGTAGGTAGCTGTGTGTGTAGGTAGCTGTGTGTGTAGGTAGCTGTGTGTGTAGGTAGCTGTGTGTGTAGCTAGCTGCGTGTGTAGGTAGCTGTGTGTGTAGGTAGGTAGGTAGCTGTGTGTGTAGGTAGCTGTGTGTGTAGGTAGCTGTGTGTGTAGGTAGGTAGGTGTGTAGGTAGCTGTGTGTGTAGGTAGCTGTGTGTGTAGGTAGCTGAGTGTGTAGGTAGGTGGGTAGCTGTGTGTGTAGGTAGCTGTGTGTGTAGGTAGCTGTGTGTGTAGGTAGCTGTGTGTGTAGGTAGCTGTGTGTGTAGGTAGGTGGGTGTGTAGGTAGCTGTGTGTGTAGGTAGCTGTGTGTGTAGGTAGCTGTGTGTGTAGGTAGCTGTGTGTGTAGGTAGCTGTGTGTGTAGGTAGCTGTGTGTGTAGGTAGCTGTGTGTGTAGGTAGCTGTGTGTGTAGGTAGCTGTGTGTGTAGGTAGCTGTGTGTGTAGGTAGCTGTGTGTGTAGGTAGCTGTGTGTGTAGGTAGCTGTGTGTGTAGGTAGCTGTGTGTGTAGGTAGCTGTGTGTGTAGGTGAATACCTGTAGGGCCGGCAGGTAGGCAGGTAGCTGTGTGTGTAGGTAGCTGTGTGTGTAGGTAGCTGTGTGTGTAGGTAGGTGGGTAGGTGAATACCTGTAGGGCCGGCAGGTAGGCAGGTAGCTGTGTATGTAGGTAGCTGTGTGTGTAGGTAGCTGTGTGTGTAGGTAGCTGTGTGTGTAGGTAGCTGTGTGTGTAGGTAGCTGTGTGTGTAGGTAGCTGTGTGTGTAGGTAGCTGTGTGTGTAGGTAGGCAGGTAGCTGTGTGTGTAGGTAGCTGTGTGTGTAGGTAGCTGTGTGTGTAGGTGAGTACCTGTAGGGCCGGCAGGTAGGCAGGTAGCTGTGTGTGTAGGTAGCTGTGTGTGTAGGTAGCTGTGTGTGTAGGTGGCTGTGTGTGTAGGTAGCTGTGTGTGTAGGTAGCTGTGTGTGTAGGTAGCTGTGTGTGTAGGTAGCTGTGTGTGTAGGTAGCTGTGTGTGTAGGTGGCTGTGTGTGTAGGTGGCTGTGTGTGTAGGTGGCTGTGTGTGTAGGTAGCTGTGTGTGTAGGTAGCTGTGTGTGTAGGTAGGTAGGTAGCTGTGTGTGTAGGTAGCTGTGTGTGTAGGTAGCTGTGTGTGTAGGTAGGTAGGTAGCTGTGTGTGTAGGTAGGTAGGTAGGTAGCTGTGTGTGTAGGTACACGTGTAGGTAGCTGTGTGTAGGTAGCTGTGTGTGTAGGTAGGTAGGTGGGTAGGTGAATACCTGTAGGGCCGGCAGGTAGGCAGGTAGCTGTGTGTGTAGGTAGCTGTGTGTGTAGGTAGCTGTGTGTGTAGGTAGCTGTGTGTGTAGGTAGCTGTGTGTGTAGGTAGCTGTGTGTGTAGGTAGCTGTGTGTGTAGGTAGCTGTGTGTGTAGGTAGCTGTGTGTGTAGGTAGGTGGGTAGGTGAATACCTGTAGGGCCGGCAGGTAGGCAGGTAGCTGTGTGTGTAGGTAGCTGTGTGTGTAGGTAGCTGTGTGTGTAGGTAGGTAGGTAGCTGTGTGTGTAGGTAGCTGTGTGTGTAGGTAGCTGTGTGTGTAGGTAGGTGGGTAGGTGAATACCTGTAGGGCCGGCAGGTAGGCAGGTAGCTGTGTGTGTAGGTAGCTGTGTGTGTAGGTAGCTGTGTGTGTAGGTAGGTAGGTAGCTGTGTGTGTAGGTAGCTGTGTGTGTAGGTAGCTGCGTGTGTAGGTAGGTAGGTAGCTGTGTGTGTAGGTAGCTGTGTGTGTAGGTAGCTGTGTGTGTAGGCAGCTGTGTGTGTAGGTAGCTGTGTGTGTAGGTAGCTGTGTGTGTAGGTAGCTGTGTGTGTAGGTGAATACCTGTAGGGCCGGCAGGTAGGCAGGTAGCTGTGTGTGTAGGTAGCTGTGTGTGTAGGTGAATACCTGTAGGGCCGGCAGGTAGGCAGGTAGCTGTGTGTGTAGGTAGCTGTGTGTGTAGGTAGCTGTGTGTGTAGGTAGCTGTGTGTGTAGGTAGGTAGGTGTGTAGGTGAGTACCTGTAGGGCCGGCAGGTAGGCAGGTAGCTGTGTGTGTAGGTAGCTGTGTGTGTAGGTAGCTGTGTGTGTAGGTAGCTGTGTGTGTAGGTAGCTGTGTGTAGGTAGCTGTGTGTGTAGGTAGCTGTGTGTGTAGGTAGCTGTGTGTGTAGGTAGGTGTGTAGGTGAGTACCTGTAGGGCCGGCAGGTAGGCAGGTAGCTGTGGTTGTAGCTCCACAGAGGTGGGAGAGTCGAGGTGGAACGGAGGCGGGGATCCACCGCCTCCCACAGCCACCCCTCCCACGTCATCGTCGTCGTCATCGTCGTCATCGTCGTCATCGTCGTCATCGTCGTCGTCATGGTGACGGCGACGTCGCCCGTCCACCTCCTCATCGTCGTCATCGTCGTCATCGTCGTCATCGTCGCTGCTGATGGAGTTCTGCTGCACCTTCAACATGGAGGCTGTGGTGAGAGGCGGGGAGACACGGTGAGTGTTGTGGTGAGTGTTGTGGTGGTGAGTGTTGTGGTGAGTGTTGTGGTGGTGAGTGTTGTGGTGGTGAGTGTGTGTGGTGGTGAGTGTTGTGGTGAGTGTTGTGGTGAGTGTTGTGGTGAGTGTTGTGGTGAGTGTTGTGGTGGTGAGTGTTGTGGTGAGTGTTGTGGTGGTGAGTGTGTGTGGTGGTGAGTGTTGTGGTGAGTGTTGTGGTGAGTGTTGTGGTGAGTGTTGTGGTGAGTGTTGTGGTGAGTGTTGTGGTGAGTGTTGTGGTGGTGAGTGTTGTGGTGGTGAGTGTGTGTGGTGGTGAGTGTTGTGGTGAGTGTTGTGGTGAGTGTTGTGGTGAGTGTGGTGGTGAGTGTTGTGGTGAGTGTTGTGGTGAGTGTTGTGGTGGTGAGTGTTGTGGTGGTGAGTGTTGTGGTGAGTGTTGTGGTGGTGAGTGTTGTGGTGAGTGTTGTGGTGAGTGTGTGTGGTGGTGAGTGTTGTGGTGAGTGTTGTGGTGGTGAGTGTTGTGGTGGTGAGTGTGGTGGTGAGTGTTGTGGTGGTGAGTGTTGTGGTGGTGAGTGTTGTGGTGAGTGTTGTGGTGAGTGTGGTGGTGAGTGTTGTGGTGAGTGATGTGGTGGTGAGTGTTGTGGTGGTGAGTGTTGGGGTGAGTGTTGTGGTGGTGAGTGTTGTGGTGGTGAGTGTTGGGGTGAGTGTTGTGGTGGTGAGTGTTGTGGTGAGTGTGTGTTGTGGTGAGTGTTGTGGTGAGTGTTGTGGTGGTGAGTGTTGTGGTGAGTGTTGTGGTGGTGAGTGTTGTGGTGAGTGTTGTGGTGAGTGTTGTGGTGGTGGTGAGTGTTGTGTTGTGGTGAGTGTTGTGGTGGTGAGTGTTGTGGTGGTGAGTGTTGTGGTGGTGAGTGTTGTGGTGAGTGTTGTGGTGAGTGTTGTGGTGGTGAGTGTTGTGGTGAGTGTTGTGGTGAGTGTTGTGGTGGTGAGTGTTGTGGTGAGTGTTGTGGTGAGTGTTGTGGTGAGTGTTGTGGTGAGTGTTGTGGTGAGTGTTGTGGTGAGTGTTGTGGTGAGTGTTGTGGTGAGTGTTGTGGTGAGTGTTGTGGTGAGTGTGGTGAGTGTGTGTTGTGGTGGTGAGTGTTGTGGTGGTGAGTGTTGTGGTGAGTGTTGTGGTGAGTGTTGTGGTGTGGTGGTGAGTGTTGTGGTGGTGAGTGTATGGTGTGGTGAGTGTTGTGGTGGTGAGTGTTGTGGTGGTGAGTGTTGTGGTGAGTGTTGTGGTGGTGAGTGTTGTGGTGAGTGAGGGTGGTGGTGAGTGTTGTGGTGAGTGTTGTGGTGGTGGTGAGTGTTGTGGTGAGTGTTGTGGTGAGTGTTGTGGTGAGTGTTGTGGTGAGTGTTGTGGTGGTGAGTGTTGTGGTGGTGAGTGTTGTGGTGAGTGTTGTGGTGAGTGTTGTGGTGAGTGATGTGGTGAGTGTTGTGGTGAGTGAGTGTGGTGGTGAGTGTTGTGGTGGTGAGTGTTGTGGTGGTGAGTGTTGTGGTGGTGAGTGTTGTGGTGAGTGTTGTGGTGGTGAGTGTTGTGGTGGTGAATGTTGTGGTGGTGAGTGTTGTGGTGGTGAGTGTTGTGGTGGTGAGTGTTGTGGTGAGTGTTGTGGTGGTGAGTGTTGTGGTGGTGAGTGTTGTGGTGGTGAGTGTTGTGGTGAGTGTTGTGGTGAGTGTTGTGGTGGTGAGTGTTGTGGTGAGTGAGTGTTGTGGTGAGTGTTGTGGTGAGTGAGTGTGGTGGTGAGTGTTGTGGTGAGTGTTGTGGTGAGTGTTGTGGTGGTGAGTGTTGTGGTGAGTGTTGTGGTGAGTGTGGTGGTGAGTGTTGTGGTGAGTGATGTGGTGGTGAGTGTTGTGGTGAGTGATGTGTTGTGGTGAGTGTTGTGGTGAGTGTTGTGGTGGTGAGTGTTGTGGTGGTGAGTGAGTGTGGTGGTGAGTGTTGTGGTGAGTGTGGTGGTGAGTGTTGTGGTGAGTGTTGTGGTGAGTGAGTGTGGTGGTGAGTGTTGTGGTGAGTGTTGTGGTGAGTGATGTGGTGGTGAGTGTTGTGGTGAGTGTTGTGGTGGTGAGTGTTGTGGTGAGTGAGTGTGGTGGTGAGTGTTGTGGTGTGGTGGTGAGTGTTGTGGTGAGTGAGTGTTGTGGTGAGTGTTGTGGTGGTGAGTGTTGTGGTGGTGAGTGTTGTGGTGAGTGATGTGTTGTGGTGGTGAGTGTTGTGGTGGTGAGTGTTGTGGTGGTGAGTGATGTGGTGGTGAGTGTTGTGGTGAGTGTTGTGGTGGTGAGTGTTGTGGTGGTGAGTGTTGTGGTGAGTGTTGTGGTGGTGAGTGTTGTGGTGGTGGTGAGTGTTGTGGTGTGGTGGTGAGTGTTGTGGTGAGTGAGTGTTGTGGTGAGTGAGTGTTGTGGTGGTGAGTGTTGTGGTGGTGAGTGTTGTGGTGGTGAGTGATGTGGTGGTGAGTGTTGTGGTGAGTGTTGTGGTGAGTGAGGGTGGTGGTGAGTGTTGTGGTGTGGTGGTGAGTGTTGTGGTGGTGAGTGTTGTGGTGGTGAGTGTTGTGGTGGTGAGTGTTGTGGTGAGTGTTGTGGTGAGTGAGGGTGGTGGTGAGTGTTGTGGTGGTGAGTGTTGTGGTGAGTGTTGTGGTGGTGAGTGTTGTGGTGAGTGTGGTGGTGAGTGTATGGTGTGGTGAGTGTTGTGGTGAGTGAGGGTGGTGGTGAGTGTTGTGGTGAGTGTGTGTGGTGGTGAGTGTTGTGGTGAGTGATGTGGTGGTGAGTGATGTGGTGGTGAGTGAGTGTGGTGGTGAGTGTTGTGGTGAGTGTGGTGGTGAGTGTTGTGGTGAGTGTTGTGGTGAGTGAGTGTGGTGGTGAGTGTTGTGGTGAGTGTTGTGGTGAGTGATGTGGTGGTGAGTGTTGTGGTGAGTGTTGTGGTGGTGAGTGTTGTGGTGGTGAGTGTTGTGGTGAGTGTTGTGGTGGTGAGTGTTGTGGTGAGTGTTGTGGTGAGTGAGTGTTGTGGTGAATGTTGTGGTGAGTGAGTGTTGTGGTGAGTGAGTGTTGTGGTGAGTGTTGTGGTGGTGAGTGTTGTGGTGAGTGTTGTGGTGGTGAGTGTTGTGGTGAGGTGAGTGTTGTGGTGGTGAGTGTTGTGGTGAGTGAGTGTTGTGGTGAGTGAGTGTTGTGGTGAATGTTGTGGTGAGTGAGTGTTGTGGTGAGTGAGTGTTGTGGTGAGTGTTGTGGTGGTGAGTGTTGTGGTGGTGAGTGTTGTGGTGAGTGTTGTGGTGGTGAGTGTTGTGGTGAGGTGAGTGTTGTGGTGGTGAGTGTTGTGGTGGTGAGTGTTGTGGTGGTGAGTGTTGTGGTGGTGAGTGTGGTGGTGAGTGTTGTGGTGAGTGAGTGTTGTGGTGAGTGAGTGTTGTGGTGAGTGTTGTGGTGAGTGTGTGTGGTGGTGAGTGTTGTGGTGAGTGTTGTGGTGGTGAGTGTGGTGGTGAGTGTTGTGGTGAGTGTTGTGGTGAGTGAGTGTTGTGGTGAGTGTTGTGGTGAGTGTGGTGGTGAGTGTTGTGGTGAGTGTTGTGGTGGTGAGTGTGGTGGTGAGTGTTGTGGTGAGTGTTGTGGTGGTGAGTGTGGTGGTGAGTGTTGTGGTGAGTGTTGTGGTGAGTGAGTGTTGTGGTGAGTGTTGTGGTGAGTGTTGTGGTGAGTGTGTGTGGTGGTGAGTGTTGTGGTGAGTGTTGTGGTGAGTGTGTGTGGTGGTGAGTGTTGTGGTGAGTGTTGTGGTGGTGAGTGTTGTGGTGGTGAGTGTTGTGGTGAGTGTTGTGGTGGTGAGTGTTGTGGTGAGTGTTGTGGTGAGTGTTGTGGTGAGTGATGTGGTGGTGAGTGTTGTGGTGGTGAGTGTTGTGGTGAGTGTTGTGGTAGTGAGTGTTGTGGTGAGTGTTGTGGTGAGTGTGGTGGTGAGTGTGGTGGTGAGTGTTGTGGTGAGTGTATGTTGTGGTGGTGAGTGTTGTGGTGGTGAGTGTTGTGGTGAGTGTTGTGGTGAGTGTGGTGGTGAGTGTGGTGGTGAGTGTTGTGGTGAGTGTATGTTGTGGTGGTGAGTGTTGTGGTGGTGAGTGTTGTGGTGAGTGTTGTGGTGGTGAGTGTTGTGGTGAGTGTTGTGGTGGTGAGTGTTGTGGTGGTGAGTGTTGTGGTGAGTGAGTGTTGTGGTGAGTGTTGTGGTGAGTGTTGTGGTGAGTGTTGTGGTGGTGAGTGTTGTGGTGAGTGTTGTGGTGAGTGTTGTGGTGGTGAGTGTTGTGGTGAGTGAGTGATGTGGTGAGTGTTGTGGTGAGTGTTGTGGTGAGTGTTGTGGTGGTGAGTGTTGTGGTGGTGAGTGTTGTGGTGAGGTGAGTGTTGTGGTGGTGAGTGTTGTGGTGGTGAGTGTTGTGGTGAGGTGAGTGTTGTGGTGAGTGTTGTGGTGAGTGAGTGTTGTGGTGAGTGAGTGTTGTGGTGAGTGTTGTGGTGAGTGTTGTGGTGAGTGTTGTGGTGGTGAGTGTTGTGGTGAGTGTTGTGGTGAGTGAGTGTTGTGGTGAGTGTTGTGGTGAGTGTTGTGGTGGTGAGTGTTGTCGTGAATGTTGTGGTGGTGAGTGTTGTGGTGAGTGTTGTGGTGAGTGATGTGGTGGTGAGTGTTGTGGTGAGTGTTGTGGTGGTGAGTGTTGTGGTGAGTGAGTGTTGTGGTGAGTGTTGTGGTGGTGAGTGTTGTGGTGAGTGAGTGTTGTGGTGAGTGTTGTGGTGAGTGAGTGTTGTGGTGAGTGTTGTGGTGGTGAGTGTTGTCGTGAATGTTGTGGTGGTGAGTGTTGTGGTGAGTGTTGTGGTGAGTGATGTGGTGGTGAGTGTTGTGGTGAGTGTTGTGGTGGTGAGTGTTGTGGTGAGTGAGTGTTGTGGTAAATGTGTTGTGGTGGTGAGTGTTGTGGTGAGTGAGTGTTGTGGTGAGTGTTGTGGTGAGTGAGTGTTGTGGTGAGTGTTGTGGTGGTGA